AAGAGAAGGATGGAGGGAGAAAGCGAAAGGGAGGTAAAGACTGTGAGGGAGAGGAAGGGGAGAGAGAGAGTGTGGGAGTGGGAGAGAGTGGAGGGAGTAAGGGAAGAAGAGGGACACGGATAGAGAGTGAGAGAGAATGGGGAGAGAGAAGGAGAGAGAAGATGAGAGAGGTTGGAAGAGAGGGGGAAATGAGAGAGCAAGAGAGGGAGAGAAAGAAAATGAGGGAGAGACAGAAAGAGAGAGAGGGAGGAAGAGAAAATGGGAGAGAGAGGGAGGCAGAGAGAGGGAGAGAAGAAGAAAGAGGGGGAGAGAGGGAGAGAGAGGGAGAGAGAGAGGGTGAGGGAGTGAAAAGAATGGGAGAACAATAGAGAAGGAGAGGGAGAGAGAAGGAAAGAAAAGAGAGGGAGAGAGAGTGAGAGAGAGGGAGGGATAGAGAAGGAGGGAGAGAGAGAAAAAGAGAAAGAAGAAGGGAGAGGGAGAGAGAGAGGGAGAGAGGGAAAGAGATAAAATGAGGGAGAGAGAGTAGGGAGTGAGGGAGAGAGAGTAGGGAAAGAGGGAGAGAAAGAGATAGAAAGAGTGGGACAAGTAGAGAGGGAGAGAGACATAAGTGATAGGGAGAGGTAGAGAGGGAGGGAGAGAAAGTGAGAGAGGAAGGAAAGAGAGAAAGAGAGAGAGTGAGAAACGGTGAGAGGGAAGGGAAGAGAGGGAGAATGAGAGGGATGAACAGAAAGTGAGGGAGAGAGGAGGAGAGGGAGAGGAGGATATGGAGGGAGAAAGAGATGGAGGAAGAGGGAGAGAAAAGCAAGGGATAGAGGGAGAGAGAGGAAGAGAGACATAGGGAGAGGTAGAGCATGGGGGAGAGAGAGAGAGAGTTAGGGAAAATGGAAAGAGAGAGAAGAAGGGAGAGGAAGAGAAAGGGGGAAGAAAGAATGAAAGAGAGAAGGAGAGAGATAGGAAGAGGGAGAGGGAGAAAGAGAGTATGGGATAGAGAAAGGTAGAGAGTGGGAGAAGGAGAGAGGGTAAGAAAGCAACAAAGAGAGAGAGGTGAAGAGAAAGAGCGAGAGGGAGAAAGAGGGTAGGAGGGAGAGATAGAGAGGGAGAAAGGGAGAGAGAAAAGAGAGTAGGGAGAGGGAGGGAGGGAGAGAAAGAGGGAGAGAGAAAAGAGAGGAAGGGGAGAGAGAGAAGAGAGGAAGGGAGAGAGAAATGAGGGAGAGAGAGAGGAAAGATGGAGAGGGGATATGAGAGAGAGTGAGAGAGAGGTAGAGGGGGAATGGGTGAGATGGAGAGGGAGAGAGATAAGGAGAGAGAGTGAGAGAGAGAGGGGTGAGAAAGAGAGAGAGGGATAGAGGGAGGGGATAGAGAAAGGGAGAGAGAGGGAGAGAGGTAGAGAGAGGGAGAGAGGTATAGAGAGATGGTGATGGGGAGAGAGATAGAGCTAGATAAAGAGGGAGAGAGAGGGAGAGAGGTAGAGAGAGATGGTGATGAGGATAGAGATAGAGCTAGGCGGAGGGGAAAAAAGCATTAGAGAGGGAGAGAGGTAGAGGGATGGAGAGAAGGAGAGAATGGGAGAAGGAGAGATAGGGAGAAAAAAGGGAGAGAGAGGGGAGAGGAAGGAAGAGAAAGAGAGATAGAGAGATCATGAGAGAGTGCAAGAGGGAGAGAGAGAAAGGAAGAGAGTGAGAATGAGAGAGAGAGAGGGAGTAAGGAAGAGAGAGTGAGGAAGAGATAGAGAGAGGGAGAGATGAGAGCATGGGAAAGGGTAAGAGGGAGTGAGGTCGAGAGAGGGAGGGAGAGTGATGATGAGAGAGAGGTAGGGAGAGATGGAGAGGGAGAGGAAGAGTGAATGGAGGGAGAGAGAGAGGGAGGGAGAGGGGATAAAGCAAGAGAGTGTGAGAGAGGGTGAGAGGGAGAGAGAAGGAAAGAGAGAGGGAGAGTTATTAAGAGGGGGAGAGAGCGAGAATGGGATGGAGGGAGAGAAAGAGGGGAGAGAGTGAAAAGAGAGAGAGGGAAAGAGAGGGAGAGAAAGATAAAAGGAGAGAGAAGGGAGATAGAGAAAGAGATGGAGAGGGAGAGGGAGAGGGAGAGACAGGAAGAGGGAGAGATGAAAAATGAGGGAGAGATAAAAAGGAAAATAAAAAAGGGAGAGAGAAGGGAGAGAAAAAGAGAGAGATATAGAGAGGAAAATAGAAAGTGGAAGAGAGAGGGATAGAAAGATGAGGAGAGAGAGAGAAAGAAAGAAAGGGAGGGAGAAAAAGAGGGAAGGAGAGCAAGGGGAAGTTAGAGAAGTGAGAAAGAGGGGAAGAGAGAGGAGGAGAGGAGGGGAAACACTAAACCCACGATGGCTCTCTTCTCATAGGTTGATGTAAAATTTTAAGGTTTTTATTACTCGTCTCGAGCATCTAGGCGTGGTGGCTCTACCACCTCTCCCAACGGATCTATAAGATATATCCTCACCAAGGTTACATATTGGTGATTCAAAGCCTCCTTCATTGATAGATAAAAGAACCAACTATGGCTAGTAATGTAATAGTATTATAGTGACAATAGATACTCCACAACATACTATAAGTCTAGGTTTTAGTAATATTGAGGTGTTTCCTCCATTGAAAGCCACAATGATAAATGATGGATAGAAATGAATAATATTATAGTGGTTGTATCTTTTCCATAATCTTTTCCAAGTTTTTCTTTCAACAATAATAAGGAGGTTGCATCAACCTCAAATCCAATTCCATGATTTATTTTTCCTCCTCACCTATTAGTTTGCATGTTTGGCTTTTTTTCTGGAATACTAATGTTTCTATGACTAGTATGGATATTGCTGAACAATTAATCATAAATAAAATGAAAATTCATGGTTGGAGTTCAATCTTATATTCTTTTGTCTATGCCAAGTCTTATAGGGAGACAGATTGAGTTTGAAGGCTGATTTAGGTAATTTATCTAGCCTCTATTAGTTTTCTTAGTTAGTGGGTAGATTTTCATGTCATAGGAGATATGTTAGAAAAGGTTGGTGGATTGAGCTATGACCTCCTATAAATGAGAGATTTTATGGATTGTTGTAATAATATTGCGGTTGATAATGCGGCTATATAGGCGACCAATATACATGGTGCAATAATAAGCCTAGTCTAGCCAAAATTTGGAAGAGACTTGATAGAGTCCTAAACAATGGTCAATTTACGTGTTCTCTTCCGTCTATTTTAGTCCAATATATTGCTTGGATTCAATCGGATCAATCTCCTTTGTTAATCCATTTTGAACCCATAAGATAGTCCCATTCCCTATTTAATTCTCAAAGTATGTGGAAGGAATATAAGGACTATGAGGTTTTAATTAGAGGAGTTTGGGACACTTCTTTTTTGGGTGCTCCTATGAATATTCTTCCCTCTAATTTGAAAATACTAGGTCGTAGGTTAAAATAGTGGAATTGAGAAATTTTTGATAATATTCATCGTCTTATGGAAAATCTTCAAGAGAAGGTTATTCCCTTTGAAAATGATATATGCATAGGTGGAATGAGAATATTAACATAGACTTATAATTAGCAAGAGATGACTTATCTTGATTAAATAGTAGGAGGTGGATTTATTACAATAAAAAGTAAAGCCAAATTAGGTATATGATGGTGATTGTTGTCATAGGGCGATGCCGATGGCGAGGGCAACGCGTTGAGGCAAAAATAGAAAAGATGGGAAAAAAATAACCGGAGTTGTGAACTAGGATTATGGTTACTAGGAAACCCTATGACTTGTTTGTTCGAGTTTTGGGTAAAGGGTTTATTACATGTACGGAAGATTAAAGTGACTTAAACGAAAGTCATGAAAACAAAACTTAAAAATGGGCAAATATGCAATGAGACAACATACACAAATTGGCAAATAAGCAATTAGGAAAAATAAGAAAAAATCGATAAATAGGCAAAATGGGCAAAATCAACAAATTGACAAATAGGCAAACGAGTAACTACGCAAAAACGACAAGATGACAAAATTGGAAAATTGGCAATTAGGCAAACTGAAAAAATTGATAAATATGTAATGAGGCAAAATAGGAAAAAGCGACGAAAATCGATAAGTTGACAAAAATCGATAAGTTGGCAAAAATCAACAAGTTGGTAAAAATCAACAAAAATCGACAATTAGGCAAAAGTATGCAAGTTGGAAAAAACGAAAAAAATCAAAAAGTTAGCGAAATCAATAATTAGGCCAAAAATCAACAAAAGTCGGCAATTTGGTGAAAAATCGACAAGAATCGACAATTAAGCCAAAAATCAACAAAAATCGACAAGTTGGCAAGAAATCGACAAGAATTGACAATTAGGCCAAAAATCGACAAAAATCAACAAATCGATAAGTTAGCAAGAAATTAGTCATGATCGATAATTAGGTAAAAAATCGGAAAAAGTCAACAAGTTTGTAAGAAATCGACAGGAATCAACAAATAACAATCCAAAAATGAAGCTTGAGCTAACGCGGCTCAAAAGTCCATTTTAAACAAGTCGGCAACGATGTTGAAATTTATCATTATTTAACAAAAGTGATCAAACAACGAGATTTGAAATCACAATTTTTTAATAATAAAATCGGTACACGAATGATTTAATTAATTTATCGTCAACAAAAATAACAGGAACACATAATTCGCACGAGCAATAACAAATATTTAGAAAATAATCAACACTACAGACAATATAATTAATTTACAAGCATATCATGATAATTTAGTTAATTTACAAACACATCAAAATGAATTAATTAATTTACAAGCACAACATCACAAATTAAATTTAATACATATGACAATAAAATAAAAGGTAAAAAGAAAAAATGAATTACTCGTAAAAATGCAAATCGATTTTGATTGTTGAATTTAGGATTAGTTTTGACACTTCTAACCCTTATGAAGACCGATATTTAGTCAATTAGAGAGAAGGGACGGTTGTCCATTGTGGATCTAGACTCGCGCAAGGCAAAACGACGATTAGTGATCCGATCTAGCTTGGACATGCGAGAGGGTGGCCTACGGGTACGCGGAGGGGCCGTTGTGTCCTAGCCGACCGGGCACTCGGTGTTGGTTGGCGAGTGTCAATGTTTGTCGGCCTAGAGGGCATGCGGGTCGAGGGTACTTTGGCTTGGCCTCGTGGGCTATAGGCAAGACGCATCGACGTGGTCCGGGGCCGGGGCGAGGCGGGCGTTCATGCAAGGCAAGCTCGTATGTGTGGTAGGCGTGTGTTGCGTGTAAGGGAGGAACGCGTGCATGTTGGTGTTGGGCATCCGGCTAAGGCACTACTTGCGTGCTAAGTGAGGGAGAGGCGAGGTGCTAAGGTGTCTAGCCGAGGCTATGCTACGCTATAGGGCATGGACATGCATGGGTGACCTGGATCTATGGGTTATGGGCATTGGTGACCAAGTGGGTGAAGCTCGCTTATTGAGGCATACGGGGCTAGTCGTTGGGACTCGTGATGCCTGTCCGCTCAGCGAGTAGGTGAGCGAGCATGGCTAGTTGTCGGTGGTCGGTTGAAGTTTTTTCAAAGATGGGAAGGTAGTCGGCTAGTTTTATGGAGAGATGAACGAGTACTTGCTTCCTTTTTTGAGAAAAAATGGTTTTTAAACTGGGTTTTTAGGGTATTTTGGCTAAGTTTGGTTTGGTCCCTCATCTCGCAAACCCACTTTATTTTGATCCTTTTATCCGCTCCCTTTTAGTTATATCTCCCAATTGTATTTTTTTAGTCCCTTTTTTTTTTGAAAAAATTAGGTGATAACAATTGTAATACCTCTTTCTTTCATGCCTATATTAAGGACAATGCTAGGAAACAATCTTTTATCTTAAGACAACCGGTGAAACCCTTAAAGATGATACTGATGTGATAGGGCTTGCAGCTTTTGAGTTTTCCTAAGATCTTTTTTCAACTACTAGACCTACTAGACATGGCTCTCTATTTTTAGGTAGTTTTAAACGAGTTTCGATAAGCTAAAATATTATGCTTATCGATATTCCATTTAAAGATGAAATTTGGGAGGTAATTACCGATATTAATTATTCAAGTGCCCCAGGTTTATATGGATTTATTGGCCACTTTTTGAAAGGTAATTGGGAGTCGATTAAGAAAGAGGTCATTTTAGTAGTCCAAGATTTTTTTAAGGGTGGTCATATTCCTAAAGGTAGGGCAACAACCATTTTAGTATTGATTCCTAAGATCCTTAATGCAACTAATATGAGTGCTTTAAAACCAATTAACCTATCATCATTTGGGTGTAAAATTAATTCAAAAATCATGGAAAATATTCTAGGTAAGGGTCTCCTTGATATCATTTGTTTGGAGCAAGCTATTTTTCTTAAGGGTAGGAGCATAACGAAAAATCTTGCAATTGCCTAAGAATTAGTGGCGATTTCAATAGTAATATGCATGGTAGCAACCTCATCTTCAATTTAGATATCTATAAAGCATATGATAGAGTTGATTGGTCTTTTTTGTTAAGAACCATGAGGAAAATGGGTTTTTGTAGTTAATGGTGTGATATCGTATATTATTGTATTAGTAATGCTTGGTATACTATTAGGTTTCAAGGGAGGAACTACAAATTTTTTCAAATCTTGTAGAGTCGGACAAGGGGATACTTTATCTCCTCTACTATTTATTCTAGTTCAATAACTTCTCTCATATTCCTTGGATAATGTTTTTAGGAAAGGATAAATTATTCCATACATGATAGGGGAGGTGGTGACGTAGCCATTACACATTTATTTTACATAGATGATATGTTTTTATTCACTAATGGATCTAAATAGTCAATTCTTTTTCTTAGAAAATTGATTATAGAGTATGAGGAGTCTTTAGGTCGGTTACTAAATTTATCCAAGAATGGGTTTTATACCTCAAAGAAAATGCCTAATCATTGCATTACTTTACTCAAGGCATGGACGAGTTGTAACCACTTGAGTTTCCCCATTAAATACCTTCTAATGCCTCTCGTTTCTTAGCTAAATAAAATGTCGATATTTTTAGTATATAAAGTAATACTATTTTTGTTGTCCCTTTGTCAAAAATGACAATCGACATACTTAAATGAATTATACCTAACTTTTTATGGAGCTCGATAAAAGAGTCTAAGAACCATTGGGTATCTTAGGATTGGGTATGTCCGCCTTTGTTTGAGGGTGGTTTAGGTATTCATAGCTTATTCTAGGTTATGGATGCTTTAGATGCTAAACTATATAGGTCTTTCCTTCGAGTCATAGGTTATAGGTTAAGATCATGAATGCTAAATATGGATCTACTCCCAAGTATTATTCCTATTCCTCTTACATTTTGAGGGCTATTTTTAACCACTTTACTATCTTGGAAGGTTGTACTTCTTGGATTATGGGTAACGGTTCGACTCCATTTTGGAGGTCGAATTGGTGTGGAATCCTCCTCTAACTTTGGACTATAATTTTTCAATAAATGAGTCTTTTTCATGTTTAGATGATTTCCTCCCTTTCATTCCCTCTAAATACCATGATTCTATGAAGGTTATTAATTGGATGACCAGCTTGAGGATAAATGGTTTTTAACTTATCTAAGATAGGTAGTTTTGAATCCAAATCCTATTGGAATCATTATAGATGGCATTGCCCATAGGTTTGGTGGGCTAAATCTATTTGGCATTCTAGCATTCCTCCAAAAGTAGGAGGTTTCATTTGGATCTAATTTCATAGGGCTCTTCCAGTTGATTCTAGGATTAAGGAATTGACCATTCCTATGGTTTCCATTTATAGATGTTGTGTGTCATCTAGAGAGGAGTCAATTGATCATCTCTTTTTGTAGTCACAACATAGCTTTATCATTTGGGGTAGATTTGTGTCTTATTTTAGTATAATGAGTATATATGCTTCCTTTTCCGACCTCCTTCATGCCTAGATGACGTCCACTTGACACAAGTAGGTATATGCCGAGTAACTCGCCCTATACTTTTCCATTTAGGAGATATGGAAACATAAGTGCATGATAAGATTTCCATGTCTAATGATGCTCGTTTTTTATCAAGCACGTCCTCATCTTTCCGATATATGTATGAATGTTAATCCTAAATCTTTTTGAGTAATTCTTTTGTGTTAAGACTTCAAGCTCTAGGTTTGTCGATCCTATCGTTGCCTTTTGATAGAGGTAAATGGCTTCATTAGCTACAACCCTTCGATGATCACTATAAGCTTAATACAAATGGATTTTCTATAGATGGTTATTGCACCGGTGGTGGTGTTATTCATAACTCGGGAGGACAATTCATGATAGTATTTGCTAATAACTATGGCATAGGTATAAATACAAAAGTCAAACTTTGAGCTTTATATGATGGTCTTCTTCTCTATCAAGAACTTTCCCTTAATAATGTTTCGTGGAGGCTAATTCGAGGCAAGTGTTCTAATCTATTTTAGGGATCTCCTCTTTGCCTTGTATCTATACTCATCATGTGAGACATTTGGCGTCTTTACTTTTGGGACATTCCCTCACTTTAGTGTACCAAGAGCAAAATATTATAACGGATAAATTAGCTTATCATACATATTCTCTTGAAAGTAAAAATAGTTATTTATCTTTTTTCCATTTTATCTTTAGAGGTCAAATTGTCTTTTCGACATGATAAATTTAACTTCTATAATTATAGAAGTTGAGGTAGTTTTATTTCCTTTTGTTACATGAGCTTGTTGTTTAGGGGCTAAGGCTTCCTTTTTCCACTAGTTTGTTTGGGTACGTTTGGATTATCCCCCATGTATGTTTTCTTTTTAATTAATAAAATTTTTTGATTTTTGCCCCTTTTTAAAAAAAAATTAGGTAAGAGAGAGAGGGAGAGAAAGGGAGAGAGAAAGAGAGAGAAAGAGAGAGAGAAGATGAGAGAGAGGGTAAGAGCGAGGGAGAGAGAGAGGGAGGAAGAAGGAGATAGGGGGATGGAGAGGCGAAGGGAGAGAGATAGAGAAAACGAGCGAGAGAGGGAGAGAGAGGGAGAAAGAAGGGGAGTGAGAGGGTGAGACTGGGAAAGAAAGGAAGGAAGGAAGGAAGGAAGGGGTAGAGAGGGGTGGAGAGGAAGGGAGAGAGAGAAAGATAGGGTAGAGAGAGAAAGAGAGAGAAAGAGAAAGGGAGAGAATGAGGGAGGGAGATAGAGGGAGGAGATAGAGAGTGAGAGGGAGAGTGAAAAGGGGGAAAGGTGGGAGAGAGGGAGAAAGGGGAGAGAGAGGCAGGGTGAGAGAGAGAAGAAGGAGAGAGAAAGATAGAGGAGAGAGGGAGAGGGGGACATGGAGAGAGGAGATAAGGAGATAGAGAGGGAAAGGGGAAGGGAGAGGGAAGGGAGAGAGGAAGGGCAAGGGAGAGAGGGGAGAGGGAGAAAGAGAAGCATAGGGAGGGGGAGGGAGAGAGAGGGAGAAAGAGAAGCATAGGGAGGAGGAGGGAAAGAGATGGAGAGGGAGAGAGGGAGGGACATAGAGAGAGGGAGAATGAGAGAGAGAATGAAAATGAGGGGGGAGGGAGAAAACAAGAGAGAGGAAGAGTGTGAGGAGGAGGGGAGGGTAAGAGGGAGACATAGAGAGCTAAAAAGAGAAGGAGAGGGTGGGAGGAGAGAGAAAGGGAGGAGAGATAGGGAAAATGGGAGGGAAAGAGAGAGAAAGGAGGAGAGAGGGAAGAAGAGTGAGACAAAGGTAAAAAGGGAAAGAAAGAGAGAGTAAGGGAGAGGGAGGGAGAAAGGGAAGAAGCGAGAGAAGGGGAGAGAGAAAGGAAGGGGGAGAAAATTCAAGGAGAGAGAGAAGGGGAGAAAGGGAGAGGGAGAAAGGGAGAGAAGGAAAGATGGAGAGGGAAAGGAAGGGTGGAGATAGAGAGAGGGTGGAAAGGGAAGGAGAGAGAGAGAGGGAAGGATAGAGAGGGAGAGGAAGGATGGAGATAGAGAGGGAGGGAGAGAGGGAGGGGGAAAGAGAAGAGAGAGAGGGAGAGAGAACGAGATGAAAGAAAGAGAGGGAGAAAGGGAGAGAAAAAAGGGAGAGAGGGGAACAAAGGGGGAGAGGGAGTGAGGGAGAGGTAGAAAAGGACAAAGAGGGAGGGGGAGAGTGAGAGAGAGAGAGGGACGAGAGGGAGGGAGAGGTGGAGAGGGAGACAGAGAGAGAGGGTAGGAGGGAGAGGGAGAGGAAGTGAGAGGGAGAAAGAGAGAAAGGGAGAGATGGAGGGAGAGAGAGACCGAGAGAGATAGCAAAAGGGAGAGAGAGGGAGAAAGAGAGGGTTGGGGAGTGGGAAAGGGAGAAAGATGAAGAAGGAGGGAGGAAGAGGAAGAATGAGAGACAAAGAGAGGCAGAGAGAGAGAGGAAGAGGGAGAGAATGAGAATGAGAGAGAAAGGGAAAGGAAAATAGAGAGGGAGAGAGAGAATGAGAGAGAGAGGGATAGAGGGAGGGAAAGAAAAGGAGGGAGAGAGATTAAGAGGGAGGAAAAGAGGGAGAGAGATAGATGAAAGAGAGAGAGGGAGAG